GCCTCCCCACCTTCGGCTGCACGCAGAAGCAAGTGGCTTGCGTGTGCGAGGTGCTGCAGCAGGGCGGCAACATCGAGCGGCTGGGCCGCTTCCTGTGGTCGCTGCCCGCCTGCGAGCACCTCCACAAGAATGAAAGCGTGCTCAAGGCCAAGGCCGTGGTGGCCTTCCACCGCGGCAACTTCCGCGAGCTCTACAAGATCCTGGAGAGCCACCAATTCTCGCCGCACAACCACGCCAAGCTGCAGCAGCTGTGGCTCAAGGCGCACTACATCGAGGCGGAGAAGCTGCGTGGCCGACCCCTGGGCGCGGTGGGCAAGTACCGCGTGCGCCGCAAGTTCCCGCTGCCGCGCTCCATCTGGGACGGCGAGGAGACTAGCTACTGCTTCAAGGAGAAGAGTCGCAGCGTGCTGCGTGAGTGGTACGCGCACAACCCCTACCCGTCACCCCGCGAAAAGCGCGAGCTGGCGGAAGCCACGGGCCTCACCACCACGCAGGTCAGCAACTGGTTCAAGAACCGGCGGCAGCGCGACCGGGCGGCCGAGGCCAAGGAAAGGTACGAGTAAGTAGAGCTGCGCCGACTGTCCCGGGCTGGAAGGAGAGGGTGCAGGGCATCTCCCTACCCGGGAGAGACTTAAACTGAGCCCCCTGTCCCTGCCACAGCGCAGCTGCCACCCTGACCCTGGTGGTGCTTAGGTCTTGCCTGACCGGGCAGGCAGGGGTTTGTCTAAAGCGGGCAAAGCAACCCGGAAAGTTATCAGCTAACTCCCCTCTCGCTCCAAGACAAAAGTGGAGAAGTTTAGAGCTCCAGGGTGAGGGCAGAGCGGTAGGCCTGGATCCCGGTAAAGTGGGTACAGCAGCCGGCCCAGTCGTCGGACCCAGGTAAAAATAGGTCTGCTGATTTCTGTCTAGCTGTGCTTCTCACAGGACCCCTCGGCCTTCCTCCACTCCAGGCTTAAGTGTGATTAGGGTTCAAAACTGTGATTGGAAATTTCTGGCTGTGCCTGGATGGGGAAGGGCCTGGGCAAGGAATTTTCCTAAATAGGAGAATTGAAAATCAGTCCTTGTCCCGCATATAAAGTACCAACGGGTGAAAAGCTCCATCCAGTTAGGAGGAAGTGTCAACTCTGGGAGAGAAGGAAAGAATGCTGGACCCAGCAGCCCTTCCATGGCCTCCCAGGCCCTTGACTCCTTCTCCCCTCAGGCCCTACCTCCTTTGGTGGGTAGGTGGGTATGTCTGGGGTAAGTGCAGAACTTCAGAAGGGCTGGGAGTTGTATGTCCTCAGGGAAACCAGGTCGTTCTGGTTAACCATTAGGCTCAGGTGAACTGACTGCCCTGTAACCCTTCAGTACCCCAAGTCTGGAGAATAGGGGAGATCGTGGGAACAGAATCCAGCCTGAGGGTAATAGCACAACAGGACACCTGGGGTTGGTGTTACAGGGTGTGGGCTAGCCCAGAATTTGAATAATCAGGGTCAGGGATGGGGCATTGAATATTGGAAACATATCTGGGGATGGAGGGAGTGCTTTAGGCTCTCTCATAACTGAGACCATGAGATGGGCATATCCACATGGCAAAGTCGCAGTGGCCAGTCCTGTGGGAAGGCCTCCTAATAAAGCAGAAAGAAAAGTCCTCAGGAAGTTGGCAAAAAATTCTACCCAGAATTTTGAATATCCAAATCTGGTCAGGGACTGTCAGTCAAAGCAGGACAGGAGGTGGGTGCTCTCTGCTCAGTCCTCCTCCAGCCAAACTGGCATGCTCCAGACTCCTAAAGAACTGAGTTCTCAGGCTAGGCCTCAGGTTGCAGCTGCAGATTTGGACCCTGAGCTTCTGGTTATGATAAAAAAAGTCTAGACCTGAACTGGGGAGCCCTTTTCTTCCTTCTCCCTTTCCCTTCTCCCAGGAGCTGCCCTCCAAGCCCCCAGCTTCCAGTCCCCCAGCTGAAGTTTCCACTGTATCATCAGGAAAAGGAGTTTTCAATCTTTGGAGCCTCATTCCTAGGCCCAGCGCAAAGCCCTTACAGGGCCTGCCCAGTTTGGAGCTAGAGGGAATGTACCCTTAGCTTCAGAAGCCTGTCCCCCAGCCAGGGACTTCCCTCAGGTGAAGAAAAGCAAGAGAAATGAAGGCCTGTGGGATGTCCAACTTCAGGTAGGGTCCCTAGGCCAGGGTCTAGGGTCACTCATCCTCCTCGCCCTACTTCCTCCCAGCAAACCTGGTCTGAGGAGTCTAAACTAATCTGAAAAATCCAGGCATCCTCTCTTCCTCACTGCCCACTCCCGAACTCCAAGGAGCCCTGTTCTCCTGCCCCTTTGCTCCTGGAAGAAAACGTTGGGTAGGTGAGAGGCAGAAATACAGACTATGGGAAAAATATTCCAGAAACTGAGAGACAAGAAGACTCACGGAGAGGGACAAGAGAGACAATGGTGTTGAGAGATTGAAAGAACTGACAGAAAGCAGAGCCCCAGGCCAGGCAGGGGAAATGGTAGAAACGAAAACAGCAGCAAAGAGTGCAGTGGCTGTCTCTGGCCCTGGGTGCAGCGGTCCAGAGCAGCCTCAATGTCCCGGTGACCCGGCTGTTTTGCTCCTGCACTTGCAGGGAGAACAGCGAGAACTCAAATTCCAACAGCCACAACCCGCTGGCTTCCTCGCTGAACGGCAGCGGCAAGTCGGTGCTTGGCAGCTCAGAGGACGAGAAGACGCCGTCGGGGACTCCGGATCACTCGTCCTCCAGCCCCGCTCTGCTGCTCAGCCCGCCACCGCCCCCTGGGCTGCCGTCTCTGCACAGCCTGGGCCACCCTCCGGGCCCCAGCGCGGTACCAGTGCCCGTGCCGGGCGGAGGCGGCGCCGACCCTCTGCAGCACCACCACGGCCTGCAGGACTCCATCCTCAACCCTATGTCGGCCAACCTTGTGGACCTGGGCTCCTAGAGCCCTGCTCTCCTCGACGTGCTTGCCTTCCCAGCTTGGCGCCGGGGACCTGAGAGAGACCGCGACGGGAAGGCAACTGGTGCCGGCGTCCCAGCAGGTACTGACAGACCTACGCTGAGCGGGCCTAACCGCTGGTCAGGCCAGGGCAGACAGCTGTCTCTTTTGGTCCTTTTTTTGGATTTTATTTTCAACAAGTTGCTTTTGAGAGCCTGTGGGGGGAGGGCAGGGGACTAGGTCTCGAACCAGGGAAAGGAATAAATTATACATTATTCTCATCCTCTCACTCTCCCTACCTTCTCTGCTTTTCTCTCTTTATGTCTTTCCCCCTTTCCCTTTTCTTCTCGTTCTTCCCATTTTCTCTCCTTCCTTGCCTTTCTCCTCTTATGTCTTTCCCCCTTTCTTTCCCCTTTCTTCTCTTTTTGCCCATTTTCTCTCCTTCCTTGCCTTTCTCCTCTTTTCTATCTCTTCCCTCATTGCTTCCCCTTTTCTCTGTTTCCGGTCTCTTCTGTATTTCTGGCTTGCCACCTCACGAGGCATTTGTCTCTGCTTTCTCCTACAGCAGGCTCTTGCACTCAGTATCAGCCCCTCCCAGTACTCTTCAGTCTCCTCCTGTCCAGCTGTCTGTTTGCCCCTTATCTGCCCCTCACTTCTCAAGAGTGGCAGTGGGAGGAGGCAGAGCAGAAGGAAGGACAGAGCCCTTGAACCGAGGGGGTCTCCAGAGGCTCCCCTCCATGGGTGGGTGGGAGCTGCAGGTGTCAGCTTTTCACTTAGTAACTTAAGAGAAAGAGAAAGGCGGCCCTCGGAAGCCCCTGAACGTCGCCTGGCCGCTCCTCAGTCCTCCAGGTCCCACCGCACTGCTTTCCTCCTCCCGGGACTATGGCCTCATCGCTTCGGGCAGAGCTGCTCCCAAGCCTTGGACTTGCCGTCTCCCTGTTATGCCCTCATGTGAATGTTCTTCGGGAAAATTTTCTGCTTTTATTTTATAATAAAATTGGAAATCAAATATATATAGTTACATGGATATTTGCCGTGAGGCCAGCTGGCTGGGATGCAGCCCTGTCTGAT